CTTGGTATCGTGTTTTTTCCTCATCCGTTTCCTAAAATGGGACTTTTTTTGGCCCTGGGTCTTTATAAGAAAAGTGTTTGTTAGATTTTTCTAGCATTTCTTTTATTTCCAAATGATGCTTTTCACCATAGTTCAGTCTCATCCATGCATCTTGAGAAAGCTTTTTTGGCTTAGGATGTTAGGGCATCAATTAGACCGAAAACTGAAGAAAATTTTCTGGAAAAATCTTTCCTGTTTTTCTTTTGAAAGATGACAAAAAAGACTCAGCTAAGAAAAAAGTTTTGTCATACCAAAGATAAACATGCTGGAGTTGGTTGATTTGCGGCAGGATTTGGGCAAGCTTGGAAGCTTTTGCTTCTTGCTTTGTTTTGACGATACAAACCGCCATATCGGTTTTTTTTTCTTTTAAAAACTTGCAACTTTGTTGGTCTTTTTGGTAGCTGATGTATAAAAAAAGACTGAATTTATTTTCTAAGTTTTAAAGTTGGGGGACTTTAGATTTTGGGAAGGGGTTCTTTGTTTTTTCCATGGTGTCATTATCTAAAAAAATGCAAAAATTGACAACAAGCTCATAATAAAGAATCTGAAGAATGTTTTGTCTACGCATGTTATTTTTTTTGTTTATCTTTTTCTATTTTCTCTTTTTCTTTTCTTTCTTTCTTATTTCTTTATTTATTAAGACTGAGGCACGGGAGTTTAGGATATAGGAGAGTAAAGAAAGAAACGTAAAGAAACTATTTAACAAAAAACCCTTGGTATAATTTTCTTCTGTAATATTGAATGTCTCTTAGGGTGGGTGGGGTTAAGAAGATCTTTTTACCAATCACCCAACCTCGTCGGCTGTGAGGATCTGATCCTTGTAAAAATCGACAAACCAAGAAAAAGTAATTTCTTTGAAAAGTTCGATTGGCTTTTTCAAAAAGAAATCAAAAGAAATCAGAAATCATGTGCACCATTATTCTTAGTTGTTTACTTCAAATCACTCTGACATTGCATGACATTAGGACTGTAACCAAGTTAAGGATTATTTCGTGTGTTCGTAAGTAAATAAAAAGGTCTTTGAGACTGGGACAACATGTCTCCTAACTTGATATCCCTCGGAAGATACTTATCTTTTAAATAAACATTTAGACCTTTTTATAAATAATCTAAGAAAGCCTAAGTTTCAACGGACAGTTCATAATTTATGGGTTGGGGCGTTGGGGGGTTGGTGTTTGGAGGGGGGCCCTTAATTTTCATCCAAAACATTTAGGGGAGCCATCAAAATTCAATTAGTACTCTGTATAGGGAGGAGGGGGCACTTAAAACTTACTTTAATAATCGGTCTGGTTTAGAGAAGTATTTTAACAAATAAACTTTGGGTCCAGTTAAAGAAGATATTGATAAATTCCAAGTGAAATCCGAGTGCTTTTCAACATTTAACAGAGTAAAATTATGAGACTGAAATAGGAGATTGATGTTTATTATATAAATTATAATGAAATATCAGGTGATCTCCCGCGCGAAAAAGTGGTATCTTCACATGTCAGAATAACATGCTACATGGATACCCCATGCAAACACGTGCTGTGTTTGGTCCGAATTTTTTTGTGATAACGTTCACATCTTGAATAAAGAGTTAAATTTGGTATTTCATTGAACTTAATAAACACAACATTACATGTCTTTTTTTAGGAGATACAAATTTTATTTTCTCCGCGCGGCCATGTAGTCCATGTAATATCCTCTATTTATTTGTTACATAACATCACAAAGTCTAGCAAATACATTAATGTTAATAGCAGAGCTCCTTAAGCATGCACGCGCAGATCCCCATAGCAAAGTAAATCTACCCATCCTAGAAAATTTGGTAATCACGTGACCGTACACTGCCCGAGCGACCGACCGTCCCCCTGCACCACAGGCACACCAATATAAAATAATTCTATTATCAGGTATGGCAACCCAAATGCAACGGAAGAAAATCGCATGGCCGCCCGGACTTTTAGAGAGGAAAAAAAAACAACAACAACAAAGTTGTATCCTTTTTGGTGTTATTTTTAATGTTTACACTCACATGGATAACACAGAAAGAGCTAGGGAGACGAATTTACTTACATGAAAATTTCATAGCGGTGGTGAGAAAATGAGAAATGCTAGAGGCCAGGTGAAAATAAGGGGCAGTGAAAAAATAGAGGCGAACATGAACACAGGAAACAAAATCTTTGGTAAGCACATATGACAATTCCTCCATAAAAATAACCATTTTTAAATTAAACATTGTCAAACGTCATTATCCCCACAGACTGACAGTTCATTTCCTTTAGGATTCTTCATATTAAATTTGTTTTTTCTTTCCTGCTTTCCACTCCATCATAAACTCAGAATGAGCTAAATTTATCATGGGTATCCTACAGTTTGTCTGTATAATACAGGGGCGCATCCAGGATTTTTTTTAGGAGGGGGTGCACCCGTCTCTTGCTCTACTTCAACACCAATAAACCACATGGTTTTTTTTTTT